CCTGCTGGCGATGCCCTGCTGCAGATGATCACCATCCATCTGCCCTCCCCCGTGACCGCTCAGCCCTCCCCCGTGACCGCTCAGAAGTACCGCTGTGAGCTCCTGTATGAGGGCCCCCCCGACGATGAGCCTGAATGCTGGGTGGGGGCCCCCAGAGCAGCCAGTGGTTAGAAGGCTACTCATTGCCAAGCTTAAGTGTCTCAGGATTCTGGAAGGCTGAACCCTAAGGGAATCATGCTTTCTTTGGTGGATTTTTTTTTTTTCAGGCATTAAAAGCTGTGACCCCAAAGGACCCCTTATGATGTACATTTCCAAAATGGTGCCGACCTCTGACAAAGGCCGGTTCTATGCCTTTGGTCGAGTCTTCTCAGGGCTGGTGTCCACCGGCCTGAAGGTCAGGATCATGGGGCCTAACTACACACCAGGCAAGAAGGAGGACCTGTACCTGAAGCCAATTCAGAGGTGAAGTGCTTGGCTAGTCATTTGTGACCAAGGCTGGTCCAGCCCTCCCTCCCTGCTCAAGCTGCAGGAGTAGGAGTTCAGAGGGGTTTACGTGAAGTGCCCAGCAGGATGTAGTGTTGAGCCCTCTGGCCACCTTTTGTCCTCAACCTGGAGAGGCTTGTCTGGATGAGGTACAACAGGAAGCAGGGGGCTCACTCCCCCTAATGTTCAGGGTAGAATCCCTTCCCTGAGTTAGGGGCAGATGTTCCTGATCTCCCAGCAGTGGCAACACAGTTTATTCTTACCTACCCAGAGAGCAGGTGCTGACCTCAGAGATGTCAGTCTTATGTCAGCCCTACCCCTAAACCTACTCTAGGCATTGGTGGGGGAAGATAGAACTTTGACTCCCTCCACAGGGGTTGCCCACACCACACTGTCTTTTCTCAGCCCTGGGTCAGGTGTGTGGAGCCCTGCATGGGGGATGAGGAATGGCAGGTAGTGCTCTGTCTTGGTACACAGGAGCCAGCACTTTGTTGAGACAGTCACCTGGGTTACAGTGGAGAGCCAAGGCTTGACGTCCTAGGGGTGGCACCACCACTCAATGCAGGAGGGATGACCACAGGCTCCGGAAGGAAGGAGGCTTTATCTTCCAGTCATTCCCGGACCTGGCACCACAGTGGTGTTGATTGATACCTTTTGTCTCTCCCCCAGAACAATCTTGATGATGGGCCGTTATGTGGAGCCCATCGAGGACGTGCCTTGCGGGAACATTGTGGGCTTGGTGGGTGTGGACCAGTTCCTTGTGAAAACAGGCACCATCACCACCTTCGAGCACGCCCACAACATGCGAGTGATGAAGTTCAGCGTGAGCCCTGTCGTCAGGGTTGCCGTGGAGGCCAAAAACCCGGCTGACCTGCCCAAGCTGGTGGAGGGCTTAAAGCGGCTGGCCAAGTCAGACCCTATGGTGCAGGTGGGCAGGTATACCCTGGCAGGAGGCACCTCCACCACCTGCAGGGTCAATTTGTTTTGTCTGAGCTGAAAAGATTGGGTGGTTTCTCATATAAGGAGGGACTTCCAATTGGAACTGTTTGGAGATTCAGGTGTGTGTGAAACGCACACCATCCCCAAAAGAGCTGTGGCCCTTTTCTTAAGTAGATATTTTTATTGATTTCAGAAAGGGAGAGCGAGAGAGAAACAATGATGAGAGAGAATCATTGGTTGGCTGCCTCCTGTACACCCACACTGGGGATTGAACCGTGACCTCCTGGTTCATAGGTTGACGCTCAACCACTGAGCCATGCTGGTCGAGGGCTGCTGCTCTCTTTAATGTCAGTTTACTGTTCAGGAACTCAGGCCTTGGATCTCTATAGACTGGCTATAGATGATGGGTCTTTTTTTAGGCTAACACTGAGAACCAGCAAATAAAGGCTCATATGACTCCTTGCTTCCCCCCACGGGCCCTGAAAATGTCCCTAAAAACCTCCAACTAGAAATGGATGCTTGGAGCCTGTCATTTCCACCCCCCAGTTCCTTGGGTTTTCCAAGTAGTTCTCTGGGTTTGATTTTTGGATTAACATATGGTCTCTTTCAGTGCATCATTGAGGAGTCAGGGGAGCATATCATTGCTGGGGCTGGTGAGCTGCATCTGGAGATCTGCCTGAAAGACCTGGAGGAGGACCATGCCTGCATTCCCATCAAGGTGAAGCATGCTGTCCCTGGTAGGGGTAGGGATGGATGGCATGTAGGGATGGCAGAGCCCTTGTCCAGGCTGGGCTCTGATGATTCCCTCCTTTCCACTCTCGCCTAGGACATAAGGTGACTTCCCTATGTGAAACCAGCAGTTCATACACATCCTCAACAGCTCTGAGGTTGGAGTGTGGGGAGTCTGCTTTCCAAAATCTCCAAATAGAAGCTTCTAAAAAGCATAGACATTAGTAGCCAACCTTAGGCCCAGTTGCTGGCCCTCTATTTTTCATTCTCTACTTTTTCAAATAACTGAGCTCGGATCCGTGTTCATTAAGTCCCTTAAAAGGCATTCCGCTCATAGAAATACAAATCTTTTTTTCTCCCCCAGTTAACTGCTTTTTCATCTTGTCTTCCATGTGTCAAAATAGGATTAGGCTAGTGCCTACATTTTGCATATTCTTTTCAAGTAATAACTGCATAGAATTTCACAAGATAAATTATTCTTTAGCCAGTCCTATTGGCAGTGGGTAGCCCCCTGCAAGGGAAGAGCTGCATACTTTGTATTTATGCAGAAGCGAGATGTGCATGGCTCTGTGCTACTAAAATTAGTCATTCTGATTTTTGCGCCCATTGCCCGTCTGTTTCCTGAGTCTCATTAGGAGACCCCTCTCCTGGGCGGTCACTTCCTCCTGCAGGCCTGACTTCTGTGCTCCTTTTACAGAAATCCGATCCTGTTGTCTCCTATCGTGAGACAGTTAGCGAGGAGTCCAATGTGCTCTGTCTGTCCAAGTCTCCCAATAAGCACAATCGACTGTACATGAAGGCGCGGCCCTTCCCTGACGGCCTGGCTGAGGACATTGACAAGGGTGAAGTGTCTGCGCGCCAGGAGCTCAAGCAGCGGGCCCGATATCTGGCTGAGAAGTACGAGTGGGATGTGGCTGAGGCACGCAAGATCTGGTGCTTCGGGCCCGATGGCACTGGGCCCAATATCCTTACTGACATCACCAAGGGTGTGCAGTATCTCAACGAGATCAAGGACAGCGTAGTGGCCGGCTTCCAGTGGGCCACAAAAGAGGTGAGGGGCCATTTGGTCATCCAGCTGAAAAATTATTAGCATCAGAGTCCATCAGTGGGACTTTGGCATAGGCCCAGTCTCACCACCTGTGCAGACTTTTGGTGGGGATGGAATCCTTGGGGTTACCTGTTTTCATTTCTGTTAGTGAAGTGGGGCCAGTGGTCCTCCCTCCTGAGAAGGGCACGCTAGGGAGGGTGAGCAAGGCAAAAGGTGTAAGGTCTCTGTGGTTGCAGACCTGGAGGCTGGCACAGCATAGCTGTGTGACTTGGCCTTTCCCTCTCAGGGAGGACTGCAATAGAGGCAGGAGCTTGATGGTGAATTTGGCCCCTTCCTCTGTAGGGGGCACTGTGTGAGGAGAACATGCGCGGTGTACGCTTTGATGTCCATGATGTAACACTGCATGCTGATGCTATCCACCGAGGGGGTGGCCAGATCATCCCTACAGCCCGGCGCTGCCTCTACGCCAGCGTGCTAACTGCCCAGCCCCGACTCATGGAGCCCATCTACCTTGTGGAAATCCAGGTAGGGAGTCCTGGTTGTCCTGCTGCTACTGGTCCCCTTCCCACCGAGCAACTGCTAAATAGCCTTTTATTGCCTGACAGTGTCCAGAGCAAGTGGTTGGTGGTATCTACGGAGTCCTGAACAGGAAGCGGGGCCATGTCTTTGAGGAAACCCAGGTGGCTGGCACCCCCATGTTTGTTGTGAAGGCCTACCTGCCTGTCAATGAGTCCTTTGGTAAGTGCTTGCTGGGTGGCTCTCAGATGCCCACAGTCCACTGTCCCCCAGCCAGACTGATCCAGGATAGACTCGTTTCTTGCCCCTTATGCAAGGCCCAGAGTGAGGCAGCCTAATGGGAGCCATGGATGCAATCAGCAAACTGCTCCCCGTTCCCCTGTCCATTTGGGACGTAAGAGCAGCATGGTTATGTAGGAGGAGAAGGTGGCCCACTTCTTGTGGACCTCTGAATTGATGAATTGGGGGGGAAGTGGTCACTCAGGTGTGTAAATTTGTGAGATCTGAAGATCGAGTCTGGCAGAGAAGTAGCTCAGGCTCACCCTCAGGGTGAGCAGCTGGAGATTGAGGTGGGCCAGCATTACCTCACTTGTTCAGTAGTGGTCTCTGAGCAAGCCTGGGTGAGGAGCAGGGTTAGGGGTTTTAATGTCTGATCCCATCCAGGTTGTCTAGTTTCTGATCTCTCTGGTGTGAGTGTCCCCACCTCCAGACTTGGCCAGCGTACCAAGTCTGGACTGCCCAGCGAGCCCTGTACCTGCTTCTCCCACAGGCTTCACTGCCGACCTGAGATCCAACACAGGTGGCCAGGCTTTTCCGCAGTGTGTGTTCGACCACTGGCAGATCCTGCCCGGAGATCCCTTTGACAACACCAGCCGCCCCAGCCAGGTGGTGGCCGAGACACGTAAGCGCAAAGGCCTGAAGGAAGGCATCCCAGCTCTGGACAACTTCCTGGACAAATTGTAGGTTGCCCTTCCTGCAGCCTGCCTCCCAGGTGCCACCCCCCTCACCGGCTCATGATCAACCACAACAAGCCCTCATTCTCCACAACATCTTGAGACTGTCCAGACACAGTGCCGCTCGCCTGGCTGGTTCTGGGGCCACTCTGTGCCATCGCTCAACATGAACACTTGATGCCGTTTCTTTGTATATTTATTTCAAGATTTCAGAGGCAACAGAAATGCCCTGGCTACAGGGACTTATTTGGCTGGTGGGGGAGGTGGGATGGGACACCCAACACTTCTTTCCATTTCTGAGGAAAACTCGAATGTCAAAAAAAAAAAAAGAATTAAAACGCATTAAGAGGTTTATTTGGGTAAATGGCCCACAGTGGATTTTCCCCCAGAAAGGGGGAAAGAATAAGCAGGTAGACATTTCTGTTTGGACAGAAGCTAGAAGGCAGGAAATTTTGTGCAATGTCACCAGAGCACCTCAAAGCTGTATTAGTGCCATTGGAATAATAAATTTGATTATGGTGGTGATTGCCTTTGTCTGTTGACTTCCTTCTCCGTTCGCTCAGGCTGGAATGGACTTTCTTATGCCAGTATGCATAGCTGTGGGTTATACTGTCATACAAAAAGTTCAATGTAACACTGAAGTGTCAGTTCAAATATAAGACTACCAGGGCTATCTAATGGAATTTGTGTGGTGGTGAACCAGTCTTAACTGGAGGAGCAGCCACTGTCTGGCTAGACAGCAGTGGAAATGTTCGGGTCAGTGTAGCCAAGGAACTGATTTTAAGATTTCTTAAAATTAGTTTTTAGACAGCAATTGGGGGAGAGAAACATTGATCAGCTGTGCCCCACCTTGCCACACACAGCATGACCAATCTGGCAACCTGGTGCAAAGCAGGAAACCCAACCAACCACTTGAGCTACACTAGCCAGGGCAAGGAAATTTAAAGTTTAACATTACATTTTCATGGTTTGGTGGTTTTGGGGCTGCCATAATGGTTAGTGTAGGCATGGACAACTAAATTGTTGCTGCTCATGGAGTCCATGGTCCAATGGGGAAAGCCACAAATAACCACACTTACCACACATGTTCTCTTGTCCAGCTAGACTCTGGACTTGGCATCCTCAAGTCCCACCAGATCATTCCTATTGATGAGAATTTTTTACCATTATCTCAATCATTGCTTCACTATAAGATATGCTTGAGTAATTTCATACCTACAAAAGCGTTGCAAAGATGTTAGATAACCTCTTGCATAACCACTGTACATTTGTCAAACCTTGAAAACATTGGTATGATACAATTAACTAGGTGACAGTTCATTTGGCTTTTCCACTAATGTCCTTTTCTGTTGCAGGATCCAATCCAGGATACGTTGTATATCATTTTGCATTTTTTTTAAAGCTTTTATTTTTGTTTTGTTAATCCTCACCAGAGGATATTTTCCCATTGATCTTTTAGAGCAGTGGTTCTCAACCTTCCTAATGCCGTGACCCTTTAATACAGTTCCTCATGTTGTGGTGACCCCCAATTTCATTGTTACAAATTGAACATAATTAAAGCATAGTGATTAATCACAAAAACAATATGTAATTATGTATTTTCCGATGGTCTTAGGCAACCCCTGTGAAAGGGTTGTTCGACCCCCAAAGGCAGGGGTGGGCAAACTTTTTGACTCGAGGGCCACAATGGGTTCTTAAACTGGACCGGAGGGCCGGAACAAAAGCATGGATGGAGTGTTTGTGTGAACTAATATAAATTCAAAGTAAACATCATTACATAAAAGGGTACGGTTTTTTTTTTTAGTTTTATTCATTTCAAACGGGCCGAATCTGGCCCGCAGGCCGTAGTTTGCTCACGGCTGCCCAAAGGGGTCGCGACCCACAGGTTGAGAACCGCTGTTTTAGAGTGAAATAGAGAAGGAAAGACAGAAACATTGATGTGAGAGAAACACATTGATTAGTTGCCTCATGCACATGCCCCAACCAGGGCCTGGGCTGGGGAGGAGCCTGCAGTTGAGGTATGTGCCCTTAACAAGAATTGAACCCGGGACCCTTCGGTCCGCAGGCCGACACTCTATCCTCTGAGCCAAGCCAGCTAGGGCCGTTTTGCACATTTTTAGTACCTAGTATTTTGCCAGGAATATGACTACAAATTGAGAAGTTTGAACTGCATTGGTTTAACTTCAAAATTTTTTAACCAATTCTAAATTAACTGATGACAGTGCCACTTACAGATGCCTTGCTAATAGAGCCCCTTCATATTGATGTGTTTTTATAGCTGTTACATTCACAGTGATTCCATTTATAGGGGCCGATGTCTGATGACTTCATTATATCGGTAATGAGCATTGGTCTGTTACAAGTGTTTGTGTATGTGTGTGTATTGCTCCATATTTTCATTTTATTTGCTAATTTTAATTGTGTTATTTTTTGTGGTTGCATTAGGCCAGCAGTTCTCAACCTTTTTTTGGCATCAGGACCCCTATATACTCAAACATTGAGGACCCCAAAGAACTTCTGTTAAAATGAATATATTTACCATCTTTAGAAATTAAAACTGAGAAACTTAAAAATAGTAATTGATTTAAAAATGATAAACCCATTATGTTAACCTATTTTTAGGGGTGGAAGCCTATTTTCCTAACAAAATAGTAACATTTTTGCAAGTCTTTGAAATCTTTGGCTTAATAGAGGATAGCTGGAGTCCCATCTGCTTCTGCATTAAATCTGTTTCAATACTGTTGGGGTCCAGCCCCAGCAGGTCCAGGGGTTCCCAAAGGTGTGGACGGAGTCAGCGAAGAAGGAATGACATGGAGTCAGCGTTCAGTTGATCAGCATAGCCAGGTTCTCTCTATTGTCCTGTTAAATCTGTATTTATACCATTTGATCCTATAAGCATGCCTCTATAATCACATCATGGTACCATGTTTTGGGTAACCTACAGTTCCTTGTTTCATTTCCATAGTTTCTTATCTGACTTTTGCCAAAAATCCTGTCTCTATCTAGTTCTGTTGATTTTAATCTTGTCTAGGTTAACCTCTGTGTTCCATTATAAGGGCTATTCCAAGGTCACTGCTCTACTGATAGGCTACAAGGAAGTGACTGAAGGAGATTATCCTACCCAGTAAAGGTTATGTCCTCCCAGCCTCGCTGCTTGCCTTCCCTGGGACTGCCCTGTGTCGGTGGGTCTCCAGGGGTATAGGCTTTGGTGCTTTCCCTGGTGGGCAGACCCCTGGGGATGTGGGCCCAACAAATCCCAAATTTATTGCCAACAGTCTTAGTCCAAGTTCTTCATAAGTAGTGCATGGTATTTCTGTAACACTAGGGGGTTTTACTGATTTATTCTCTTCCTTAGTCCTGTTAATCCCTAACTCCAGGGAAATATCCTCACCTGGGGAAACAACCTTTCTCGGGGAGGTGGTCCTGATTAAAACACATAGCGCTAAGAGGGCGAGCAAACATATGCCATATACGCCAGGTCCCTTGAAACATAAGCTGTGCAGATGTTTCTTCTTTGCAGCAACTGTGTCAAGCAGCAAGGGTGGACTGGCTTCCGGCACAATACATTGTTTTGGTTGAATATTAAGGAGATAACCTAGCCTCAGTCATCCCATACTTGAAAAAGAGGAGCATCTTAATACTTGTTTTCAGATAATTGTGGCTATTCTTTGATGCAACACCAAAACTCAGCAAGTAGTTTCTTAAAGATTAATTACAATGTGATATCTGAAATCCTATTAGTGAGCTTTTTATACTGTTACATTAAAATTCATTGGTCTGTCTTGCACTTTGGGTTTTTCCCCATGCATGATTTTGTAACATCAAGTGTTGACTATTTGGAAACACATGGTCAACCAAATTTGGAGCTTTGAGATGGCACATTTCACTAAATACTTGAAAAATCACATTTATTAATTTCATTAGGAAAGTGTTAAAGTGAAACTTAAGCAGATTTTGAAAATTTTTTTGCTTGAAACCTCAAATTTTGTCATGGCAACTAATACTGTCAATTGCTATCCTTGAAGTGACAGGCTTGATTTGTTCATTTTTTGAGAAAATGCCTGCCAAACACACAGTCTGAATTATTGTTTGTCAGTTTTCTTCAAGTAAAAATGATGTTCCAACTCCTCACTCATTAAGTGTGGGTTATGCATCAGTAGCTTCCCAAAGAATACAGTTTAGAAGCAGAGAAAAACATGTAACTTTAAGAGAAACCTGACATCTAGTGCCAGGTGACCAAGTTCAACATCAACAGCAGTAAGTCATGTTGATAGTATGGACTCTGAATATGATGTGATGAGAATGGCACTTTACATCTGGTCTTAAAACCGATCACTCCACTCTACTGAGAAAAACATCAGACATCCCAATTGAAGAAAAGGCTACAAAATACCTGACCAATCCTCAAAACTCAGACTCATCAAAAACATGGAAGTGAGTCCTAGCCGGTCTGGCTCAATGGTTAGAATGTCTGCCCACCCACCAAAGGGTCTCAGGTTCGATTCCCAGTCAAGAGCATGTACCTGAGTTGCAGGTTCCATCCTGGCCCCAGTCAGGGGGAGTTCAAGAGGTAACCAATCGATACATCTCACATTGATGTCTCTCCCCCACCTCCACCTCCTTCCCTCCCACTCTCTTAAAAAAAAATCAATGGAAAGATTATCCTTGGGTGAGGATTAACAAAAGAACAAAAGTCAGGGAAGTGAGAAAACTGTCAGAGCCAAGAGCTTAAGGAGATGTGGCAACTAAATCATGTGGGATCATGGGACAGAAAAAGGACGGAAAACCAGGAATCTGAATTAAGTGTGGATTTTGCTTAATAAAAATGTATCAAGATTGGTTCATTAGTTGTAAGAAAAGTATTATATGCATGGAAGATGTAATAGGGGGAAACTGGGTATGGGAGAAGGTGCTGCTTTAGCTGTGTGCTGAAGTGTGCATAGGAGTTAGACAAGAATGGAGGAAGGCGCTCTCCGGGCAGAAGCAGCAGCTCATGTCAAGATCTAGGGTAGGAATGAAATGTTTGAGGTCAGAAGGAAGGCAAATGGGGTTGGAGTGAACAAAGGGAGAATGGCAAGATGTTAGGGCAGCCGGCAAAGGCCAAAAGATAGAGGGTCTTGTGTTTGATGGCATCTGAGGTGGATCAGCATTGATTTGGGGTTCAGGTCTATCTGGGAATGAATTTCAGCCATGCCATTTACTGCCTTTGGGTTGGGTTACCTAACTTCTCTGGGTGTCAGTTTCCCTGACTGTAGAAAGGGAGAAATGTTAATATATTTTACCTCGGTTTGCTGATTGGGACATACTAAGGCTCAGTAAATGCTAGTATCTTGAGACAAAAAGGAGTCACAGAAGGATCCTCAAGCATTTGGAATGTGGGTAACATTTTACTGCCACTCACGGACTAAAGCAGCCCCGGAGTCCACCCAGGAGCTGCCATTGCCGGAACTAGGCCTTGGATTCGCGTATCTTGTGCCCCAAGAAAGGCAGGAAGAGGGATGCAGGACTTCAGCATCCCGCCTCCCAGCTTCAGAACCCTCGTCAGAGGAGAGCATAAGTTTGACCGGCGTTCATTACGGCCAATCAGCTGCATGAAGGCAAGCCTGTAGGCCAATGGCGGGGTGGCATCCGGGTGTGGACAGCCGGACGCCAGAGGGCCTCGGCCGGGAAGGCAGCAGAGGGCGGGGCGTCACGAGTGGCGGGCGCGCTGACCAATGGGAGGTGGATCCTCTCCCCAGGGCCGGGCACTGGCAGACGCGGTGACGTCAGCGCGGGTCAGCGCCGTTAAGGAGGATCAGCGAAGCCGAAGGGACCGGGAAGGGCGCGGGAGCTTTTGGGAAGTGAAAAAGCGGATTCTGTTCCGCGGTCTGCGGGTATGGAGAACCATTGGGGGGAAGGCCGGCGGGGGGGGGGGGGGG